CCACTTTTGGATCTCAGTGTCAAACGAACATCTGAACTGCAGTCATCGCATCTGAACGGCAATCAACGTATGTTGCAAGGGGTCAACTAAGGGTTGTGCAGCCCCAGCCCCCTGCATGCTGATTCTTGTTCTGCACGTCTCCAGCACAGCACAAAACAACAGCCCAGCTCTTCTATGCTGCCAGGGACCAAACCCCTAGGAGACAAATGCCGAGGATGTAGCCCGTGCTATCTTTGCAAATATCTTGAACCTTCACTGTTAGGGTTGTCAGGTTTACCAAAGCCAAAAGTCTTGGACGTTCCTTCTCGTTTGAATCCCCCAAATCCCAATATCCTCCTCCTGTATCAGATTTTTTAAAATGCCTCTTCTTTTTTCTGCAGCTATAAACATGAACCCTGCATGTCTGTCAAACAGTATCACAAAGACCTTCTTTGCATATCATCTCTTTTACTTTCGTTTCTACACTAGACTCGGCAGTTCAGGAGCCCGTCCAATTTGTTAATCTCTAACGTCGGTGTGCAGCCTTCCATCTGTACCAGACTTCCTATTTGCTTCACAAAGATTGTCTTGTATGCCATATTCCTCTTCAGTTTGGGGTAAGGAGTTGCCATAGGAGATTGGAGACGTGGTGATTTGATAGGTACTTGTTTTCTGTTTGCAGGTTTGGAGGTCTTTCATCCCTTTGATTTTTCCTATCATCCTCAGATTTTCAGTCATGCTAAACAACCATGTGGGAATCTCACATACCACGTGCTTCCCACAGTGCATTTAATTTCTGTATGTTTCATTTCCTGTGCATGGCAGGCTTTTGGCTATTGCCATGTTCATTATACCTGTATTCATGCCCTGACAGCAGAAGCAACTTTGGCTACTGATGGTATGTTTGATGCTAATAAATAACACGGTACAAAAAGATCAAGTTTTAGGAGCACATGAGCAAAGGCTTCAGCGCTAAAGATCAAATCTTTCCACTTTCAGTAAGACTTTAGCTGTGTGACTGGAAAATATTGTATTCAAGATGAATCACAGACCAAGACATAATTTTGTTAGTCACTCACACTAACCAGAAAACAGGTTAGGGTAATGAGTACAACATCAGCTTTGTTAAGGTCGGATAAAGACTGGGAAAGGCTGAAAACAGCACTAGGCAGTAATTTGTAGCCAAAGCCAGTGTCTGTAAGTGGCTGTGAGAGGGAAACATTACTAGCTGCTTATCTTGATGCAAATGGATTGTTCTTCACAATTAGGTGCTTTTGTTAGAGCATCACATTACAGTATGTTGCTATTCCAGCCTGAAGGGCATGCAGATAGTCTGATGTGGCCAATTTGGCTGACAAAGTATTAGGAGGCTGCCAATTTCGTACAAACCCATTTGGGAACAGAGAAAAAGTTAAATGGTTTCAAATTCATGGTGAGTTTTTGGGGGCTTTTTACTGGATTTCCAGGATCTAGGCACTTGTTTTTACTTTTTCTCCTTTTTTTGTTAATAAAAATGAAACATAATTTTATTTTCAGGACCCATAAACTTCCAGGAGTGCTTCAGTTTTGGGTAGCTGGCTCTATCATTCATCTGACTATTGAAACGAACAGGAATTTTCAAATGCCACAGTTTTCCTAGCCATTATATCATTATGTGGCCACACCATTCCTTTTCCTTACTGGCTTTTTATTCCTTCAGGGGAACTACTCTGGATCACATTGAAATGTTCTCATGGGCTGGAATGACTCTAGTTTTTCAGTCAGGAAGGACTACTCTCTAACCAGCAAAAGCAAAGATGCAAACAAGCAATTTGTAACAGTACAGTTCTGCGGAAATTAACACCGGTTTCAATCTGGTAGGTGGATCAAATGGCCTTTTTAGACAATCCTT